GAAAAGCCCTTAAATTTCATTTGATCTGATTCAGTAAAATTTTAAAGAAAGGGGACTTTTCACTTTTATACCTTTATTTTGGTTTCAAACAAGTAAATCTGTGAAGGCTATCTTTCTGTTCGCATCTGGCAGGATAAAAAAGCTGCCTCCCTCTTGGCAGTTAAAATACATATAAAGTATGCAGCCACACAGTGACAAACAGGATCTTTGCTTCCCTGTCCTGCAGAAATAAAAATTAAGATGGCTGCAATTTGGAAAAAAGAGCGAACAGTTTCTCTATAAGCCTCAGGTATTCCATTTGACTGCTAGAACGAAATCTCTCAATCTTTAATTTGCAGATAAAGCATGCTGTTTGGAAAGAATGTTTTTGCCAGACTACAAATTATGAAAGTTTTTTCTTTTTAAATCATTGGACTTTAATGTGTTACTGCTTTAAGAGACTTAATGGTTACTGATGACTCCCTAAAGAGCCTCTCAAACCACCAAGGTGACAGAGGGGAAGGAAACTCCCAGCCTGCAAGGTGCTTGGTACCAGGTGTTCTCTAAAACTGAAGAATGAATTTTAGGAACAGAGGTTAAGAGCAGAATGTATTAAGGAAAGAAAGCTTTTGTCTAAGAGAGAAAGATAGAAGAGGTCCCGAGCAGATTGCTGAAAGATTTCTAGGGATTTTTATAGAGCAAATCATGAGATGAGGTGGTTCAAGGTGAGAAAAACGGGAAATCACAAGGTGGGTTAATGGGACAAAACTATGGTCAACCAATAAGATAAGGAGCATAGTTGGTCAGGTAATACTGATTAAAGTGGGGAAGCAAGTCATGTAGCAAGTGGACATCAAACAGAACATGGAGGATGTGGGTCCGTGGCTCGTTCAGGCTTTCTCAAGGTGACCAGACTATCCATAACTGTTGTTTATCCTAAGGGGAAGTACGTAGGTGCATTTGTTTAATCTTTTGTCTTGCGGGCAGGCCCTCAGCAGAAGTGCCTGTTTCCCCAACAGTTGCAAGGTTATCTCCTCTTCTACCCTGACTCCTTCCAGGGCTAAGCCCTGTCGGCTGGCCTACAATACTTCTATCTAACTTAGCTCCCTATGACAAAGGTATAGCTTACCATGTGGACATACCACAGCCCCAGTCTGAATCATTCAGAACAATGTGTAGAACCATCAGGGCAATATAGCTGCTCAAAACAAATCACCTCACTCCATTAGCCTCGTTTTATCTCTTTAAAAACTCAGTGCTCCTTGTCCTCAGTGAACACTTAATTTGATTTCTAACTCGAGCAGTATCTCCTGATATACTATGTAACCAAATAAAAACTATCTTTTCTTTTATTTTAATGTCATTTGAGATTTCTTGCTTCTTACCCCAAATAGTCAAGGCACGTTGATACGTTGGGTATCATCATTTCCTGGAACTCAATTTTTGAAATCTTTAGGAAAGAGAAAGCTTCATGAAAGATTTCATTTTCTAAAGGTGTTACAACATGAAATCTTCGCAGACAAGTCAATGCTCAATCTTTTGCAGCAAATGTTTAATCTAACAAAATCCTGTTAGCATTAATACATTGTAACTGACGTAAGATTCTTGTATTTATGGTAAAGTTCTTGTGCTACATCCAAGTGGTTTAAGAAAAAAGCATACAGGAGAGAATTAGAAAAAGGCAACAAAGCAAGAAACAAACACACTTAAACTCTGAATAGTTTCAAGTAAAATAAAGGGAGAGACCTAATGGCTGTGAGCTCTGTTTTTTCTTTTTTTTGGTACCAGGGATCGAACTCACAATCACACGCTTGCAAGCCAGGCGCTTATGCCAGTGAGCTAAATCCCCATTCTTTAAAAATTTTTTTATTTTTGGCTGTAAGCTCTGTACTGTCAGAAAAGATGTTTCTTACCTAGCACCATTGTGGGATCCTCTGCTTTGGCTCATAGGCTTAGGTTTGTCTGCTTATCTCTGACTGCATCGAAGAGGTTGTATATTTGGTATAAAAAGGAAAAAAGATTTATTCTAAATTAGCTATGGAGATGGAAGGGCCTATTTGCCTCAAATTACCATCTTACCCTTTATAGGTGGGCAAAGGTCTTCACAGTTGGAATAAAGGGGAGGGGAAACAGAGAGATAGTGCAGATCTTGCTTTATCACTTCCAGCCATCTTTATAGTTCCCTTTTTTGTGGAAAGCAAACTAAGCTCCAGCCCTCCTGGTGTCATCATCTGCATATTCTGTTCCTTAGATGGGCCTAGGAGCTGTGGGGAAGCCGATTATGTCCTAGGTCTCTGGAAGCCACCTCTCTTCAAAGGAGGGGGAAATCCACTGTGTAGTGCGGGTTACCAATACATATGGAACATATTCAATAATATTTAAGATTTGATTGTTGTACACTGTTACATGTTTAAAAGACATTATTAAGTTAATGCTGTGTTACAGTTCTCAAAGAGCTTAGCTTGGGAATATCTAAGACTCTAAACAACCAAAAACAATAAAAAAAACTTAAAAGTTCTTCCCTTAACCACTGACCACTCTAAGTAAAGGAATACTTCTCTTTGGCGGGGAGGACGGAAAAACACTGTGTTTGCAGCCATATAGGTGACTTTGAGCACACTGCCAAATAGAGAATCTTTTTCTCCTGGAGGTAAAAATTTTCCAAAACTGTACCTGAGAGGATGTCAATATCAACCAGGTTTTTCTCTATCTGGTTTCACCCAAGATAGCAGAAGTCTACCTGTTCTTTTCTTTTCTGATTTTACCAAGTTAATGTTTGCAGGGCAAGTAAGATTTTGCAGAGAAAAGAGCAATCATCATTAAACACATTCTATTGAAAATTTGCTTCAATTCAAAATAGGCATATGCATTTCATGAAATGAGCAGCGAAGAATGGAGCGAATCAGCATGTATTCAACTGGAAATGTGGCAGCCTGGGTATCTGTTCCCAGCCTGTGGAGACTCCTCATCTGTCTAGTGTTGGAGCTGAACTACACACACGGTCCCTTTCCCCTATCAAAATGTATGGTTAGATTATAGTAACCTTTTCATTTGCAAAAGGAATGCTTTTCTTTCTTAGTACTTGTCAGAAGAAGTAACTATGTACTTCTTGATGCAATTATTTGGCAATGTTTGCTTCTCCCTTGATGGCAGTAGGCATGCTGTTGTTTCGCTTATAATGTATCTACAGGGCTGGGCATTATAATAAGATGTCCCATAGTCAGAGAGAAATGGGTAACGGAGAGGGCTATCAAAGTGGAAGGAAAGTAAGCTATGACTCCTTCAAACCAGTGTAAGTATATGTTACAAGGATTACTGTGGATGTAAGGCCACTTAAAGTCATTTTGGTAAAGGGCACAGGTCCTGCTTGTTGAGAAAATTACCATTTTAGATTAGCTAAGAAAAGTACTGGGGTTATCATCACTGCTTGTTCTACATACCAGTAAATTTCTGGAGTTCTGGCTCTTTAGCTGGTAAAGACTTACAGTACTTTAGTTTGTTATTTAGACCTCATTCCTTCTCCACTTCTAGGTTTCAATCTTTGGGAACCTTAAAATTAAAAAAAAAATATCTTTTTTCCTGGTACTGAGAATTGAACCCAGGACCTTTGCACTGTGCCTCATTCCCCTTTTATTAAATTTTTTGTTTGCAATAGGGTTTGGCTAAATTGTCCAGGATGGACTCGAATTTGCACTTACCCTGCCTCAAGCTTTCTAGAGTACTGCGATTACAGGGATGAGCCAAGACACCCAACTCAAAATAAAATTTTATGTGAAAAATATTTGAGCCATGGGCCAGATATGCCAGTCAAAAAACTGGCTGAATACAAACCCCGTTATTTGACACATGAAACAAGCTCTCAGTCACTCCTCAAGCACCCAGCTCCAATCATGACTCCTATTGGCCATTTCTTAGAGGCTTTTTGGTTGATCCCATGTCTAGATTTGTATTACGTTTTTGTAACAGACTGAAGTTTTATGAAACTGTGCCACATCTGGACCATCAATGAACTGTATTACTCTTGTCCCTGGCATTAAATTTCAGACCATTGTATTATATTTTAAAATGACCTCAGCTTCCTGAGAACTGAGATTGTGCACCCTTATCTTTCTCGTCTCAGGGATATTTGACTGCAGGCCTTACTTTACTTAAGGTTCACACCCAGGTTTATGCATTGTCTCATCTCCAGGATACTTCACTCCTCAAAACTTTCTCCAACTCCCCCAGCTTAGTCAATGTATTGGGTTCTCAGAGCAGGTGCTCTGAACATCCTTGGGAAGAACCGGCTTAGTCTAAACGTCAGGTGATAAAAATTCTTCATTAGAAGAGCCATTCCTTCTTTCGGTTAAAAGCAGTACAGTCTGTCAGCGTTTCTCACATTTAAGGTGGTCAGACACAGTCACTTAGCGAGAATGTTCCTCACAAGATTATCTAAGGATCAGGTAAGGACCAGCGCGAATCTGCAAGCGGCCCTGACCTTGGGGAGGGGAGTGCGGGTAGAGCTGAGATACAGCGCAGGGAACGTGTACGAGGACAAACTATGTTTTAATCTGCGGCTGGACTTGGGTTCAGCGGGCGTTTTCAGGTTCCGCCTGGAGGTGCTCTGTGCCTCCTCTCCGCGCCCCGCACGTCCCCTTCTTCTCGGATTCCCGGGTCCGACGCGGGGCGCGAACCTGGCTCCTCGCCTCTGGCCCCGCCCGAAGCCCTCCGGAGACCCCACGCTCGCCCCTGGCTGTCACCCTTCAGCCTCCCCCGTCCTCCCGCTCCCGAGGCTTTCGGTCACCTCTGCGTAATTAAGAACCTAAGGAACCAACCAGGCACTCTCCTTGCCTCCCTAGCAGCGACAAGCAGTTTCGTGGCGAACCCACGAACACTCCGCTTCTGGCCGTCAGGCTCTAGCCACTAAGCTGCTCCGCGAGTCCTGCGGGTCACCCACGGCCGCCCGCCCGCGCCTCTTTCTGCCGCTGGGACCTGACCCCGCCTCCCGCCCGCGGTCCGCGTCGTCCCGCCTGCGGCCCGCGCCCCCGCGCCCGCCATTGGTGCACGTCTGCCCTAGAGGACGCCCATTGGCAGGCCCGGAAATCATTCTCTGTGAGCATTCCACTGCCCTCAGGCTGGCGGAGAAACTTCCTTATTATTGTGACGCGGAAAAAACGGAGAAACCCCGAACCGGGTCAGAGGTGTGGTGACAGGCAAAATCCCGAGCTGCAGATCCGAGGCCGCGGAGGTGCGTGAGGCGAGGACCTGGGGGGCGGGGACGAGGGGGCCGTGGTGCTGCGCCGCCGCATTCCCGGAGTGGCGGCTGCCGGCGCCTCGCAGCTCGGGGCGCGGGGCTGGGGCGTAGGCAGCGGCGTGCCCCCTGGGGTCCTCCTGGATCGCCCTGAGCCCCAGAGCTCCCCTCCGGGAAAGGCGGCCACTGCTTCCCATCGGGAGCGCTCCTGCTTCGCCTCAGCAGTCCGCAGCGCGCTAGGGACTGCGACGTAGAAAGTCAGAAGCCGGCTCCCGCCCGCCGCCTGCCCTGCCCCAGTTTAAAATATAGCGGCTTGGGCGACCTCCTTGCGAAAGGAAGCGCGGACGCTTCCACGGACAATGCGAGCCGGCGAGGCCTCGGCGACCCTGGAGCCTGGGCAGCCGCGAGGAGTCCGCTCGGGGGACGCTGGGCACGGCGGCCGCAATGACAGCGCGCGTGGGGCCGCGGCTTCTGTACAGACAGCCGGCGAGGCCGCGCAGCCCGGGAGTCCGCCTGCGCCCGGGGCGGAGCTGCGTGGGGTCGGCACGGGGGGGGGGTGCGCGCAGGTAGGCCCAGAGACCTTTGTCAGGGGCCACCCGGGACACCTGGACCTAGGAGGGAGGCACGTGTAACCTGAAGCAGCCCAGCGTGCAGACTGTCATGCAGTTGTGCACTGATGCCTTGCGTGTGCGTGTGTGTGTCTCCGCACGCGCGCACAACGTGGGCTCTAGGGAGTATTTGAACTTCGCAGTTGCTCCATCACTGTCTTTGACAGTTTTATGATTACATTTTACTTAAGGTTTCTAATTAACCGCATGCAGAAGTACCTTAAATTCATAGACGAGCCTTCCAGGGTTTTGCTTGGCTTCATCTCGAATGCAGTGGTTTGGGAAAGAGGATTCTAGCCCTCTCTTCCATTTTTGTGTGCCTTCTGGCTTTTTCCACAAATAGGAAGCTATTTTTAGAATCTTTCATTTGATGGTTTGATAACACGATGTGAGCTGATTTTTAACTCTCGACTGGGAAGAAAAGTGAACTAAAATAAGGATTAACAGCCTTCTAGAATGGGGTACTATAGGGAGAGAATCATATTTTAGACAGATTGTTGTGAAGCTCTCATTTTTTGTATTTCCTTTATCCTGAGGGAGGCAGGAATCGCCTTATGCATCAGAAAAGCCGGACAGATAAATTATGTATTCCACCTTATTGACCCCCGTTGAGGCTAAGGAAAAGATGTAAAGCAGCAATCAAGGTTAGAAACATTGACAAAACTTCTTCGCCATTAAAAAAAAAAATTCTTTTCACTGGCATCCAATTTTCCGTACTTTTAGTGAAGCAATTGGGCTTTTATTTTTGACAAAAGAAGCAGGCGTTTTAAAAATGTTTCAGTTGATGTGGTTGGACCTTTTCATTCTGTGCAACAAATTTGAATTTCAAGATTTGTGTATCCAATAAAAGTTTTTTTTAAAACCAAGTGTAAGTAACACCTGTATTGGAGACATAAGTTAGTTTTATGTCGGTTTCAGCATTAAAAACAGTATTCTGCAAGTTAAATATTTCTATGTAAGATAGAAACGAAGTTTTGATGATGGTATCTGCAAATTATGCAGGACTTTTTCCTCTTGAGGGACTTGGGACGCCTTGCCCTTGTCTTGTTTTGTGTGAGAGGATGTGGTAAGGAGAAATGTGAGGCGAAAGTTTGCAACCTTTGTTGCAGAAATATGTGGGGAATTAAAATGGACACAATCAAATTACAGTATTTTAAAACCTAAATGAGAGATTTCTATCCTAAATGAGAGTTTTCTAACCTAAATGAGAGATTTTAAAATAATACTGTTTTACTGTGCTCTTTTATAAGGTACTCTTTATGATACTAGTTTGTGTTACTGATGACTAACATCTTCCAGGTAGGTTTGAGGCAACCCCTCCCACCCAGTGATTCATTCCAGGACCTCATACATGTTTAGCAGGCATTTCTACCACAGAGCAATGGCTTTTTATTTTCTTTTGAGACAGGGTCTTGAGCAGTTAAACGTGCTGTCCTTCCTTGAACTTGTGTTCCTCCTGTCTCAGCTTTTGGAATAACTCAGATTACACAGATGCTCTATCTTGCCCAGCCTTGAAGATAATACTAATCAAATTCCAGGAGATACTGTGTTTGGGCAATATTTGACCTTGAATTACTAAAGATATTTTCAAAAGTTTACTATTGTCATTGTATTTTTGAAAATGTGAGAGCACTTTGCAGAGTTCTCAACTAATACTTATTTCTTTAACTTGCAGCTCGCCAAGGTGAAGTCAAATAGTTCTGGCTTCTAGTGCAAATATCAAGTGTGTAATCAGTGGTAAGTTAAATTTCTCTGAACCTTGGGTTTTTCGTTTTGGAAATGGAGAGAACACTAAGTCATAGACTTGATAGGAGTAAACAAGATAATGTAGGCAATATAGCTGCCCAGAGAAGTATACTAACAAATCGTAATGCCTTCCTGCTATGAGGTACTGAGGTGAACAAGGTGAACCTAGGAGGGTGGATCCTAGTTTCTGATCTTTGCTTCAGCTTTTTAACCTCTTATTAGAGGACCAAAATTACTTGGATGTACATATACATGTTCCAATTTCCCATAAGAGATGTAAATGTTATGTATTACACATGTGTACTAAGAAACTAAAATGAAAAATCCGCATTACTTGGCCCCCAAAAGCATCAGCTGCCACTAAAGTGAGGTTCAAAATGTTAAATTTCTTGTCTAGAGGTTGGATCGAGTACTCTGTTAAAGTTTGCTTAAATAAGGTAGATCCCTTTAATTTCATAACTCTGTTCTCTTTAGACGTTTTCTGGTTTTAGGAATAATACTTGGTGTCAGGGAACTGTGTTTCTGTGTAAGTGAACTGTTTTATCGTAAGTCATGGTAAATATGTGAAAGTGGTTAACTGTTGATAGTGCTTTATTCCCCACTCATCTCTGACTAACCGAGATTCTGGTTTCCTAAATATATCACCAGGGGTTCAGTAGCTATAAGTTCACTTATTTTGTACAACTTCTTAAAACTATTTTCAAAATTAGAAAGGGAATGTGGATTTTGTGGCTTTTTGACTTGGTTTCCTTTTGTTTAAAGATAGTATAGTGTCATGAACTTCAAGAGCATGAACTATGGAGTCTGGTAGAGGAGTTTCAAATCCTGCCTTTGACTTAAGACATTTTTATTCAGCTTCTTAATTGCATGTTCCTGGGCAAGTGACTTAATTTCGCTAATCCCAGGGGTTCCAAAATGGTTATGCCAATTTACATTCTTACCACCTGTGTATAAGAATTTTAGTTGTTTCATATCCTTGACAAAGGGAGGGTTAGATACTTATGTAAAGTTTTTAGCCAGATTCAGACACACAGTTGGCTTGCAGTTTAAGTGAATACTACTTTCTCTTTTTCAGAAACTGTTGAATCCCTACTATGTGCCAAACACTAGTCTGTTTTCTGTGAAAACAGAAATAAATTAATAGACAGTTTTTCATTCGTGGAGCTGCTGCAGCAAGGTAGAATTCCGTGCTGTCAGTTCTCACATGCTAGTGATAGATGCACGTGTATATCACCCAGCACTGCGTATTGCACTTGCACTGGCTACGAGAGTGTTCTGCCACTGAACTACACCCTGGCTCATGCTACACACCGGCTCATGCTGCTGTACTCTCTGTGTAACAGTTTGGGTGTAAAAGGCATTCTGCTTCCATATCTGCTAAAACATTAAGGGGAGTGTACCTTAGAGTTACGATATTTTGTTACTGCATAGTGGATTGTTATCTAGTACACAGGATAAGACTTTGAAAATCGAGATTATGGAAATTCTGGTTTCTCAGATTAAGGTCCCTTTTATTCACAAGTCAAGTTTTTCTTGTGCTCCTGATCTCTGTGAGAATAGGAGACACAAAGATGAGTAAAACCTGGTTTCTCCCCAGAGAAGCTTCCAGTCTACACATGGGAGAAGCTTGGTGGACGTGTAAGAGGCCGTGATGCTCTTTAAACAGTGCATGGTGTTTTTTTTTTTTTTTTCTGGTGGGATTGAACCCAGGACTTCACACATGCGAGGCCTTTCACTCTACCACCCTACCCCCAGCCTTTTTTTGTTTTGGTTTGAGACAATTTAGCAAAGTTGTTCATGTTGGCCTCACACTTTTTTTTTTTTTAAATTTATTTTAAAGAGAATAAAACAAAAGAGCATAGAACAGTGCAAATCAGAACAGAACCATGCAAGCAACACAGCGCTTCATAACAAGACAACTGGCTATCAACAGTGGCTACCATGTCTCTTCTTCGAAATAGTTGACCATACCTTCACAAGCAATAATATGAAACATAAGAAAATAGTATAAAACCATTCAAAAGAATGAAAGCATCATAGGATTTCAAAACCAAATAATAGGAAATGAACAATGGCTACTATGTCTCATTTTCCTCAAAACATTTGTCTATGCCATCACACATAATAAAATCAAATAAAATACAACAGGATAGAACCAATCAAAACGGAAGAACAAAAGCATGGTAGGACTTTAAAACAAGATGATAGTAAATCAGCAATGGCTACCATAATGTCTTGTTTTCTTCAAAACAGCTGTTCATACCATCACACATAATAAAATCAAAACAATAAAACCAATCAAACAAATGAATGAAAGCATTATAAGACTTCAAAGCAGTATAATAGGAAAGCATGATTACCATAATGTATCCCATTATATTCAAAATAGCTGCCTGCCTCTGTCTCCTGAGTACTGGGATTATAAGTATACTCATCTTTTTTGTAATTGTGAAGTATTAGCAAAAATATATAGTGTGTATGTTGCAAGATATAATAAAAGGTCAGAAGCAGAGTTATCAGCCCTGCTTCTAAAGCTGCCTTTACCCGCCTTCCTCATTGACTCCCTTCTTTCAACCTCTGTAATCATTACATTGCATTTGTGTTTGTGATCTTATTTTGCTTTGCTCCATAACTTTACTACCATTAACGAAAACATTTATCTCCAAATAGTATTTGTGGTATTTGTGTTTAAACTTTGTAAAAATTCACCATGCTCTGAATTCTTGACTCAAAACTTTTTATGATTTAACAATACTGATGTTTACAGGTACAGCTAATTTTTCTGTGCTGTACCATATTCTATTTTATGCAAGTGCTGCAGTTTTCATGTTGGCGGACATATATGTCTTTTTTTGTTTGTTTTTTTCTGTTTCTAATAATTGGATAGACATTCTGACACATACGTCTTATTGCCTCTGTGTATAAGTTTCCCACTGCATAGTATGGTCGGATAGCACTAGCGGTATATGGCCACTTACATTAAGGTTTATTAAAATTAAGCAGTATTGCAATTAGAGTTCTGTGGTTCTGTTAGCCACAGTTCATGCACTCAGGAGCCCCACAGGGTTACTGTCCGCCTTCCCAGGCAGTGCAGGTAACAGTATTTTCATCATTGCAGAAAGCTGCAGGTTTCCAGGTTTTACTCACCCTTGTGTCTCCAGCTTGCAGTCAGTGGAACGGCACTGTAGATTCTTACTGAGCTGAAGAGGCTGGTTATGTGCTTGGGAATGAAATTACCTAGCTGTGCAGTACTCACCCCTCCTCTTTACTGCACAATGCCAGCTTGTTTACCAAGTTGTTACACCAGTTTACACCCTCACCAGCTGGATACGGGCGTGTTGGCTGCTCTGTATCCTCACCTTGGTATCATTCTTGTCACTCTCTCACTTCTTGTCAGGCTAGTTGGGTATATTTGAAGGTGGCAGAGAGATCATTCGTCTGGCTTCACAGAGTTCAGCACCAAGTAGTGAAGAGGTCAGAACCTGTAAGGAATGGTCAGGGCAGGGCAGGGGCAGGAATACTTTTTGTGTTGGCTGATAAGGCTCAGAGGACCAAAGTCCAGCTCAGGTTGAGGAGAGCAGAAAACAGCTGGAGTGGATTCACATGGATGGAAACTTCCGTTTGCCTTTTATGTCACTTTGGTGCTTGTAAAAATTTTGACAGTAGAGTGTTGTTAATCTCCTAAAGTTTTGGATATTGTCTTTCCATTTCAAAAAGACACTGCCACATATGTTATAAGTCCAGTGTTTACTTCTAGGCTTATTTCGAAGGAAGGTTGTCCCTGCTTCAAATAATACTGGAAGTTCTGTGTGAATGTAATGTAGATTTCACTGAGTTTCAAATAAAAGAGTAAGATTCAGTTTTTAGGCTGCCGTGTGCTTACACTGATTATAAGACAAAAGTTTGGGAATTGAAACTTGTCTTTGAGCATTCATTTCCCTAGGATTGGTGAAAAGCCTCTCTGTCCCTAACTGACACTCTCTCCAGAATTTAAAATACACAAAAAAACTTTTCTCAGGGGTTGGGGATTTAGCTCAGCAGCATAAGCACCTGCCTTGCAAGCAGGCGGTTGTGAGTTCGATCCCCAGTACCAGTAAAAAGTTAAACAAAACAAAACAAAAAACAAAAAAAACTTTTCTCCTAGCAACCTTGCATCATCTTCATAAAATTATGGCAGATGGTGGCAATGTGGCTGTCTTGCACATGATACAGATTTGGTGGTTGGTGGAACATTACTTGATGATCACAGTGAGGGAGGAGTATCTCTGGCCTTTTTTGGGAACTGTCCTGCCTACTGAGGTCTCAAAGCAGAACACTAGGAATAGGAGTAACAGTGAAGATAGTAGCCAACATTTATTGTTCACTCACTACTGCATGGCTGGCACCATGTTATGCACTTTGCACATGCATTTGCTCATTGATTCTCACAGGACCCTGTTGTTCGTTTCTCCCGTTTTAGAGAAAGAAAATGGGGCTTCGAGTGGTTAAATACCTTCCTCCAGCTTTCCCAGCGAGCTCGTGGTTAACTCAGGGCTTGAACTTCAGCTTTCTTGACTATTAATAAAGTATCCTGAGCTGAGTGTGCATCTGCCTGTAATTCTAGCACTTAGGGGGCTGAGGCATGAGGTGTAAGACCGGCATCGCGGAGGAGGCCTCAAGGACTCAGCTCTCATGCAACAACAAAGGGGTTTTTATTATTCCGTGCGCACGGGGTCCTCCAAACAGGTGGAAACGGAGAACACCTTACTCGAGCAGGGCTGTGTCTTTTAAGGCCTAAAACCGCAAAGCAAGCAAGCGTTGTTACAGAAGCCAATCATAGCGATTAGAGCAGGGCTGATGGTGAGCTGTCCTTAAGGGACTGGGTTTCTTAGTGGGGTGAGGGAGTGTCTCCCGAGAAGGGGTGGCATTTCTTAGGAACAGGCATTTGTCTCATGACTGAGAAATCTGCCTTAGGTTAAGGCTGTTTGTCTTAACTGCTTAAGAACACTGGT